GTAACTCATTGATTTTGAAAGATTATACTAATTTATACAATCTATATCTGATTTTTTGTCTCGATCATCGAATCTTATGTTCAAAAAAAACTATAAATTCTTGTAAGCACTTTTTTAAACGTGTTCATAATATGAAGATGAAGAAAAATCAATAAATTTAATCTCATAGAGTTTTTCGTATAATACACAAATGTTTATTTGAAAATTCAATTTTTATATAAAATTGATAGATAATCAGAGATAATTCATTTCTTCGAAATTCTTGAAAACGAAAACATCCATGAAATATATACTGGAATAGAAAAAAAAAATCTTACTTTAAAATAAAAAAACTTCAATATATGTCTTGCGCTTAAAAATATTACGTTTAGTCGTATAATTTTTTTCTGCTTGCCTCAAGTGAAAAGTTTTTATTTTCGTAATATGGAGTTTTTTTTTCAAGATATCACTCATAGTTTAGCATTAGTTCAACAAAATTGCCTGTGATTTATGTGTTAATAAAAGTATACATATGATTTATTCAAAATAGCAAGCATTAATAACTTTGAGAAGCTCAGATTTTTTCCAAAGATATTTCTTAAAAAATTGTATACGAGTACACGGTGATTCACTTATTTTTACTAGCTTTGTTCAGTTTATTTTATTTCTACAAAACTTCGAGAACTTTTTATTTCTAGATGATTATATAGAGCATTAATTATTTTATCTAATGGTATAGTTTTCATTTATTTTATTAGATGTTTTGATTAAAAAATTTTAAAATAAGCTTTAAAAATTCGATTCTTACTTAACCTTAAATGAAAGTATTTTCAATTCGAGAAAATAAAATTTTACTCTTGAAGGTTTTGATACTTTTGCACTAATTCATTTACGGTGTTGTTTATATAATCTTAAATTAGGTTATAAGATTTTATTACTTATCTAAAATCTTTGTTAAATACTCAGTAAATTTTCGGTCAAAATGGAGATTAAAGTGATTAAAAAAAGGTTTAGTTCGATAGAGTAATGAATTCACTTGAAATTATGCAAATAAAAAAAAAATTTAACCTTCTTTCGAAACCTATACCATAGCATGAAGTAATGAACGGTCTATCTAATTATATAGCAATAAAATCGTCAATAATCCTATATAGTTTCGGTGCATTTTGAAAAATTTTCGTTTGACGAATTAGATCGCTTCTGTAACGTTTCGATTTGCTGATTTCTTTTCTTAATTTCAGTTGTGAATATAAAATAGAATTTCATTTAATTATGGAATATCTTTGACAATGAAAAATAATAAATGATTTAGTTATTGTCTATTGATCCACAGTCGCGAATTTCTATTTACCTTTCTCTAAAAAAATTAATGAATATTTTTTTGTTATAGAATGATTTCATTGTCAAGAAATATAAATTTTACTAAAAGAAAGAAGTTTTTACTGGGCAGTGTTTCTTAAAAAAAATTGATAAAGAAGAATAGCCAAAAATAACTTTAAAACCCTGCTACAAAATTTTTTACTGACTGTCATGCCTAGAAATTCAGTACATTCATGGAAGCTGAGTTCTTCAGCTTTATTTTCTGACTACGTCACTCGTTACAATGTCGTCCTAGAATTTTCACAAGAGATTTTTAAAAGTTAGATTGATATGTTTTAAACCTTGTTTATTTTTTTTCGAGGGAGGGCGAAACCGGCTTCCAAGGAGGTAAAATGTTGCAAAACCCTCATCTAGATAAAACACTGCTGAAATTAACAGAAAGAACAATTAAGCATAACTTATTGCTGTTTATATATCTCTATACTAAAAGATCTTCCAATACAAACAGAGTTTTTCATAATGACAACATATTAATGATGTTAGTTTATCTACAAAGAAGATTACGAATGTGTTCCAGAGAACTATATATAACGGAAGAAATAGCATATATCTTGAAATGGTAAACGTATTTCTCTGCAAAAATTAGCAATGTTGATAAACTTCATATCTATTTATTTGAATAAGTTTCCTGAGACTAATATATATGTAACTTTGGCCTAGTTAAATTTTCTCTAAATAAAACTAAAGATATTGCGAATACAAATAACTGCTTTTTTTTTAAGTAACCTGGCAAATTGAATTAGTTTAAATTATTGAAAATTTTTTCATGTTTATAAACAGAGGACTATCTCATGTAGAAAATGGAATTGATAAAAGTTCGAACTGTTGAGATTGAAAGTGTATGAAAGCAGAAATTCTTATTTCTCTCATTATCTATTGTCATTTTTATTCTTGACTAAAGTAGACTTAAGTGTAGAATAATGCAAATGAAGTTCTCTCTGATAAATCTTTATTTTCAGTTATATTGATATAAAAGAATGTGAGTGTCAATCTATTCTTCATCTAAGTTAACATCGATACCTTAACTCACACTCGCAGAAAGAATTTTGCTTAATTTCTTTTTTTGAGATATCATTTTTATCATATCAATTGAAAAGTTATCCAATTTTTCTATTAAATATATATTTCTTTTATTTCTTGGTGATATTTTATTAGCTTTATTCAAATAAAATTTTGTTTAAGCGAAGCATGACTGAATTTCATGCTGTTCTACATAAAATTGAAAATCGTCTCAATATGTACTATCAATAATTTGTACATTCATAAAATTTTATTTGAATGAGCAAGTAAAAACATATTCTACAATCTCTTGAAAATTTTCGGAAGATATTTTTATAAGTTATATAACTCATTTGTCAGTATCAATTCTTGAAAAAGTAAAACAGATCAAAAGTTGTTTTTGTCTAATCAGTGAATGACCATCTATTAAATATAAATAAATACAATAAAAAGTTTATTAGAACCATATTGTTTTCCTCTTCTACATGTATTAACTGATGATATTAATTTAGCGAATAAACTTTACGTGGTCATTTCATTTGCTTATGAGTGTTTGATCTCTAAACTGAAAACTAAATCTATGAGTAAACGTGATTTTTCCAATAATTTACTTAATATCTTTTAAAATTTGTTCATATTGATATAAGAAAAAAATCTTCTCGGAAATTCATCTACTTATATATACAAAGTAAAATATTTGTAATCGTTGCTATATTGTTGTCGCATAGCACAGAACTAACATTTGAAATATTTGAATGTAAACATTAGATTATTTCATGCTTTAAAGCATGAGAAGTTTGTTTTTTCAATAGGACTAAATGAATTCTCTTAATCAGAAAAATAAAAAAAAAATTGTAGTCTTTAATATGCAATTACAAAAAAAAACAAAAGAGTATAAGAACATCATAATCGTATGACTACCAATATTATCATACAGTTATATATGTCAGACAAAATAAAACTTCGATTTTGAAGATTAAAACTATCAAACTAAACTGAACTTGATTCCATTAGTGATTCGAGCAAAGCATTAATTCTTCAAACAAGGGTGTGGGTGTGGGTGTGAATGTTACTGTATCCTATCTCCACACCCACACCCTAAATTCGATTTCAACTTTTTCAATATGGAACTTCAAAAGATTTTGAAATCAGAGAAAATTTTTATTCACATTACTTCTAATAGTTTCAAGATGATATTAACAATATATTTATGCCTTATTTTTCTTGCCTTAAAGGCAACAAAATCCATTAAATAACCAAAAATAAGCAAAAATATCCTCGATTGATTACACGTTGTTTTCCCTAATAATTGTAACGAATAAATTCGTTGTTTAACTTTCGATTTTAATTTCTTTTCTGTAAAAAAAAGTATTTTACTGAATATTACTTAGGTGCCGTCATAATAATGTTATTCTTTCCAACTTTCTGTTTCTCTCATCTACCCAACTTTCCATATACAAAGTAATAGGAACATTGTTTTAGCGAGAAATTCCTATCAAATTTCATCCTAATAGGTTCAAACACGTGAACAAGATGCGCTACTAGCGTCTATTTTTTCATTTATTTCCCTAAAATATGTGAATCAGTCATCCATTGATAGTTGAAAATCCTAACGGAGACATTTGATAACTACTTATTTTCTATCCAAATCAAAGATACACATTTATCTCCTTTTTTTCTAATTAATTGCTTTATTTGGCCAATGTATTTTCTGTCTTTTTTTGCCATAGTAATTCTATGTGTTATTATAGCTTCTCATCAGTATACCTTTTATTTTGAACAAGGTGATGCAGAGCGAAAACATTTAGCGCAAGAAATGTAATTTTTTTTCCTTTCTTTCGTCATTTTTTTACACTCTTAACGTGTGCATACAACCTAACAGCAGTTGTTAGTTGTTAACAAAATGCGGTTGGACAATATTATAACTAATAGATTGATGAACATATTTTGTTGGATAAAAGAATTGTTTCTACTTCGTCGTAAAGGTATTCACAGTTATAGAATTTCAAATGTCTTCTACATTGAAAGAATCTTTATAAGGTATTGCACAATCAAATGAAATTTAAATGTCACCTCAATAAATACTCGGTATAATATTTCTTTTTCACCAATCAGTGACGGATTCAGGAAACTCTGCAGAGGAATATGCGGTGCGCTAAACGTAACCAAGGGTAAGGGTGTGAAAGAAGATAAGGCTTACACCCACACCAAAAAGTTTTTAAAATAAGGGAGCTTCTAATGTGTCTGGCATATCGAACTCTCGAGAGGGGGCTTCTAATATGGGAGGAGCTTCTATCATGGAGAGAGGGAAGTTTATCGTATTGGTTCAACTTTTTTCTTGTTCGCATTCTTTTGCTATTAAAAAAACGAGAAATCAATATAGTTTGATTAAGGTTCGAAATTAGCGTATCACTTGTGCCGTACTCATGTCATTTGAAAATGCTACAATTTGAGATCGACAAACCAATGAAACTAAATTTCTGACAACGCGCCTGAGAAAAAATAAAACTAATCAATCCGAATACTTTTTCCAAAGGTATAAACAAACTGTTATTTCATAACTCTAATGAAAATGTTTCAAGTACGGTTAACGATTTATTGAAAGAAAAGACGAATATTTCTATGCAACTAGTAATTCAATACTAAGGTGGTACCCATGTCCATGTACCATATCTTCGATCTTGAGTAAAAACACGCACCACATCCGTATGATCACAAGGTCGACAACCTGGTGAGTCTTTCGCTTGTTGTCTGCAGCAGACCCAACGATTTTCTACTATATTACTACTTATATAGTAGTCGACATGATATTTACAACCGCTCTTTGCGTATTCATCATATTGTTGACCACAACGAGTACACTTTTTATAGCGACTTTGTCCACTTTCGGCACTGATAGCATCTCGTGCATCATCCAGCAGACAACGCAGTTCAAATAATTTAGCTGAACAATCATCAATAACATCGGGTGGTTGTGCATGAGCAATTTTTCGTATAGCTTGCATTATCACATCAATCTAAAATAAGTATAAATAGAACAAATAATCATACTCGAGTAATTTCTACCATTGGTATTCCATTGACTAATGCCTCCAAAGCCTCATAGGAGAAAATGTTATATTGAGGAAATCCTTGAATCGCATCTAGCATCCATTGTTCCATTTGAATGTTTGGTTCTGTTCGAATGATAACAAATGCTTTACCACGTTTTACAGCATATCGAAATTCCATTTGGCAATTCGTTGATTTAATATAAGCTTTGGATAAAAGACAAGCAATACTTTAGCACATTCCACACCTAAGATAGAAATGCATGTATTATTGTAACAAAAAAGTAAATTCTGTCCAACAAATGAACCTGTAGCCATCGCCTCGTTCGTATTGCCTTGCATGGACCCCCAAATATCAAACCAAACGTTAATTGAACGCATGTACATGTCTTCATATACTTTATGAACGAGTTGTTGCTTATCCCATTGATAGCTACAAAAGAGTATATTCGCATGACGAAGTTCATTCATCTCAGTCTCAACTACCTTATCATACAATCGATATCTCTTCGTTTTGGTAATCCGCATTCGTCAAGTATTTGTGGGGGTCCTACCATATCTATACGTTTGATTGAATGATGAATATGAAGAAAACGATGCTTAGCGTTTGGTTCATCCAATGTGACACGAACAGGCTGTCGATCACTCAGTAGATCCAAGCTACGTGGTTTACGAGGAGGTGGCCATGTTCGTAATTTAATTTCACATTGTTCAATTTTCTCTTTCAACATTTTTATCTCTGCTTCTTCGCGTTCAGCTTGAATAGGAGTTGGCCTACATGCTACCTATGTTTTTTTTACAAGAAAAGTCCTGATTAGGAATTTATTTTCATAACTTACTTCAACTTCAACACGTAAATCAGTGATTCGATTACTATCAAAGAATGGTTTATATGCACTTTCCTTGTCAAATATGCGAAAAAATGTGCGTCCAGCAATTGTTAAACCAAGCCAATCTTCAGGTCGCCAACTTTTAATTGCTATGGCAGGTACAATAGGCTTTTGAAGTCGACGAGCTTCTTCAAATGCCGCTCGACATACCGGTGTTTGTTCAAGTTGAGGTGTAAGAATCGGTACAAATAGAGTACATTGTCGTACACTACATTTTGAATTGGATTTTGACAGATTTTCGAATCCAACATGGAGATTTTTTGTGCCAAAGTCATTGTAAATTAACTGTCCCACAGCTGCACCATCATCGACTGTACATATGAGAATAGTGCATTGATTTTCACTATGAATCAGGTTAACATTATCGTTATCAGTCTCAATCTATCAATGCATTCAAAAACAAATTATTCGAAGTTATTCGTTCTGCATACTTTTGCTGGATCAATGACATTTTTGCTGTTTTTCCTCATCTTTTGATTTGAAATCGTATTAGATAACTGTTTTACAACATCCCCAGATAGATAGTCATCGGCAAGTATTGGTGATC